TGGCTGGTTTAATTCAACTTTGTAACGTGGTACTTACCACATAATTTAAGAGTAATGTGTTACTACCATTTAAGAGTAATGTGTTAGAGTTACTTACCACTACCATTGTTTTCTTCTATTTCAACAATATTGTAAACCACGCAACTTAATATTAAAGCTTAAATTGAATTTTAAAAGAAAATTCAATCAGAAGAGCATTCACTATACAATAAACGATTGAGGATGTCCAAAACTTCGCGAGACAGTGCATTGCGGTAAGTAATAGGTTGCTTGAGTGCGACCAGGCAGGCAAGTCACCAAGCCTGGTGTTTGAATAGACGTTTCAAATTGACTTATAGAGTCAATTTGAGCGTATTTTCACAATTAGCGTATAGAGTTAATTTAAGGAAGAGACTGGATTGAGTGATCGCCTGCAAATTAGGCTTGCATTGGTCTAATATTCTAAGCTGTTTAGTTATGACTATTTTGAAGATATATTTGCAGGATTTTTTAGAGACTATGACTCCGATGATTCGCAAGCCAATTGCAATTTGCAAATACGCACGGATTTAATTAGTATAAATAATTATTGCGGATTTAATAAAAACGACAAATTTTTTTAAAGTAGACATGTTTCGATATCTCACGATGCCATCTTCAGAGTAAGTGAAATAATAAATTTTAACAACGCCTAAATAATAAATTTTAACGACGCTGGTTTAGCAACGCCTACCAGCTGTATATTCGCACACCGTTATCTATCATAGAGATGGTATCAAAGCGCATCGTCCCGCAATTGAAACAGCTAACGAGTTAAAATAGTAATGATTTTACCTTATCTTTTTTGTAAAGTTAATGCATTATAACAAAAAAGAAAAAAATAGTGTTATTCGTACGATTAACTTCTCGTGCATCTCATATACTACCCTCGATACAGTCGCAGAGTAGTCTGGAGCCAACGCTAGTTGTCATTTAATGGCTCTTTATACGAAAAAGAATAATTCGCAGAATACTTCGCCAAAGTCGCTCACCCAGTTATCGCATTTATTACGGTTTTGTAAAAACGCAAGCTAAAGCTATTCGTCATTCAAGGGCAGCTCATACGCACTACGTCACAGTACTAACATAATCTCGCAAAAGTCGTCGCTTACTCGGTGATCACACTAATTACGATGCTGTAACAACCGAATCCAACGCTAATACGGTGCTAATGTTTGATTTGTGTACATCCTGCTGCCGTATCTTCCAGCGTCGCATGGTAAATCCGGTGATAAGAGGATTTATCTCATTGAAGCAGCACAATTCAATGCTATACTCCTTACTACAATGGGTCAAAATTTTCAGATAACTCGCTGAGGGCAGAGGGGAGTTGTAATTGACTTGGAGTGGTGAAATTCCTGCGGAATGTCACTATGGTGGTCAGGCTCTCAATGATTAGGATCACTTACGAGCATTTTCAAGTTGGTCAAATGCAAACTGGCCGCAACCTCCCGTCTGGACCTCACCTTCCACACACGTAAGTACATTTAGTGACAACTGATAATAATTCCACGTTTTACCCTCTATTCCGCTTCCGTAGTTCCGTTCTCGCGTTTTATCCCTACCCAATTGTTCGGTTATGTAGCCGTCAAATATCATCAAAATAAGTTAAAGAAGAGATTTTAAGTGTGGAATCAGACTCATACGAAAGTGTGTTTGAGTGTTCGCGATGCGGTTAACTGGAGAGCTTTTGTTGCAATCTGTCTGCCGTCAAGTGGTCTTTATGAATTGAGCTGAGCATTGCACGCTTTTTTCTCGTTTTTATTTTGTTCAGCATGTTCAATGCTTTGTCGCTAAAACTAAATGTTCGACATTAAAAAAATTTAAGGTATATGTCAAAAAAATCAATTAATGGCAGAGTTCTCAGAAATTTTACGTGCATTTTCAACGATAACCAATGACAAAGAATTCACTGAACGTAATTTCATCTTTTGCTTTTCCACCCAGATGTGCAATGCTTTTGCTGCTCTGGCTTGATGGTTCTTCTGCATCAATCAAATTCACTGTAACCTGAACTAAAGCACACAAAAAATACAAAAATAATTCGCCCTGCTTATCTATATAACTATAACGTAGTAAACACTTAACAATGAAAGAACACGTCATTGACGCTTGCACTCACATATCATAATGAGCTAATTAATTCAGAAATGAATTCTACCTTTAGACTCATGGCTTTGCAGCCTTCGCCATATGCAGCCTTTCGGAGCGATTATCTTAGAATAGCATTACCTTAAGGACAGCAGCTACAGTATAAATGTATATAATGTAAAATATTTACTCAACCACTTACACTGATCTTTAAACACTGGTAGCCAAATGCTGGTAGAATTGAGAGAGACGTCCCGGCTTGCAGGACGAAAAAAAATTTGTGCTAATTTCATGTTGTGTTGAGCATCGGTACTTTGATGTACTCCCAAATTTGGACGCTTTTACGTCACATGCAAACGCTCCATAGAATTAACAAGCCTAGATTGTGTGATCAATTTCGTTAAACTTTGCTAAATTGTTAAAATATGCTCAAAATGTTCCCAAAAATTTAAAAAATTGCTCATAATAAATTTTCTATTGTATTCTTAGTAATATAAACAATTATGAAATTTTCTTTAAAAATATGCCCGCTGATTGGTCGAATGCTTGAAAAAAGTGTTTCTAAGGATTGTCGCACGTGACGTCAAAGCGATCATACTGGGGCATTGAAGTAAATACGTGCAACTCTACCTGAAATAATTGAAGCCGTGACTTTACCCCAGACACGCGTGTGCATTGTTTCGAGATTGTCACGGAGTGAAAATTGATTGATTGAACAAGCAACTAGAAGAGAAAATCAACAATAAATTCGAAAAAGACATATTTTTTCGTTTGTCGTTGCATATTTATGTTGACATTTGATCAATTTGACCAACAAATTCAGTTGCTTCCTTCTTTGCACTTATAATAACGTTCGTAATAATGTTTTTGTTTAGGCTCTATTGAAATAAACAAGATGAATTTTTTTTAATTCTCATTTAATGTAAATAGATTATTGATCTGTTGAATTTCTTTTGTTTACAACTTCCTTTTTAATACAGAAACAGTAAGAAAATACGTAAACATGCTTGGAAAACAAACAATATGTACGTAAAACATGTTTTTTGATACAACGTATATTTATTAAAAAGAAGTTTGGCAGCCCGTGAAAAGAAAAATTTATCGATGATAACTGTTCTTATTTATAAATATCCCAAAAACAACTTCTCAGTTCTTGAAAAAAACGTACAATAGTTGACCGTAATTTTCAACAACTTTTTGGCTGTCCATTCTTTTAATGCTCATAAAGAAGACGTTGATTGCCTAAATTCAACTATCTAACGAAATCTTGTCAAGTCTATCGGCGTGTGTTGAGTCAAGAAAAATAAAAAAGAAAGCAATAGATCTTACCTGTCAATATGACCAAAAATATCTTTTTCGTGTTTTTTTTTGAAATAAACGCCGATTTCTTGTTGATTTTCTCTTTAAAAAAAGCAGCACTTCAATGTTAATCCTGCAATTGTGACCATGATTCTCACTCCTTGATTTTGGGGTGAAATTTTGCGTGTCTGGGGTAAAATCACGTCTTTAAATAACTATTAGGGTTTCGTATTGCAGGCAGCGTTCCATGTATTTTAGTTCACTGTGTTAGGGAGAGAACATCAAAGTGCCGCTGCTCAAAATAACATGAATATAACATAAGTTCTTTTCATTATAAGCGATTTTCCCACAACATAGCGACTGATGAAAACACTCTATAGCTTTATAATACACGGAGACTTCTCTAGAATATCTCGGAGACTGCATGGTTTGCGCAGAAAATTTGAATGGTGTAAAGATAGACAAGACGTCATTTAAATGTTGAATTTAATGACGAACATTTCTTTTAAATATATTTTTGAAAAGCCTATTTTGTAAAGAAAATACAAACAAAGATTATATCTTTTCATTCCTGAATTTTTCCTGTGAAGCAAAGTACCTGTGTTTCCGTTTCAGAAGCTTGTGCTTTTATGAGAGGCCATGCAGTTTCAATTAAAAGAATGATTTCATATACAAAAGCAATAATTTTGGTTTGCTTAAACTTATAATAGGATAATCTATCGTTTGTAGGTCGCGGAGCTTACATGACAATAGAATTTAAAATAAAGAAAGCAGAAATTATTAAAATTCTGGTTGGGCAAACGGCACTCGTCAATACCCGTGCCTATACATCAGGAGGTGGTGGTGGGTCTTTTGTTGCTAGGAACAACAATGTACCCCTACTGGTTGCTGGAGGTGGTGGTGGTATAGAGTACCTAAAGAAACGTTTAGATAACTGTGATGCGACCACTAAACATCTGGAAAAAATGACAAATGTGTCACATCTTGTGCAAACTGGGCTGGAGGAGTAAATGGGCAAGGAGCAAAGCAGGCTGATTCAGGAAATTCAGGTTGTATGAGATTTTGAGTTTACGGTACTTAGGCTCACATTTTTGATAATTTGAAATCATTACGAGAAAAAATTTGTTGTTAAGAGATACTGAAATTACTAGGTATGAGCTCTAACCATTAAACCAAGATTTATTATTATCGATAAAAACCTTTCCCATATAAATCATACCAGCCCTGTAATGCATTTTTTGTTTGCAATCAAATCAGAAGTAAAACAATATAAAATTTATAAATAATTTTTGTGATGTTTATTAGGTGGTGGTGGAGGTGGATTTTACAGCAATGGAAGAAGTAGTAACAGTTTGGTGGTAAGTATGGAAATTGAGGAGAGGGAGGTTTTGCTTTTATAAATGGAGGAGCAGGAGGACGTGCCTGGTATAACAATGCCATTGGTGGATTTGGAGGTGGTGGTGGGGCATATGGTTCTGGTGGAGGACCAAGTGGAGGTGGTGGTTACTCAGATGGAGCATCGGGAGAAAATGTGTCCGGATCTTGTTGCTTGTGGAGGTGGATCTTATAATGCAGTAAGTTAAAGGAGAAACTCTCGGAAAAGAGTTTAATTATGCAGACGATACAAGATTAAAAAATGATATATTTTTAAAGACAAAAACTAGAAAAGTGAAAGCCAACCCTTAAAAATAGCAGGGAAGAGAAAGAAAGCAAGCTTTTCTTCAGTTCGAATTATGCCGTATATAATATATATTTTAATTACTTCACTTTAACGATCTTTACTATACTACAGGCTCGGTGGGTGCAAAAAGACCACGGTCCGATATTTCCCAAAAAGATCTCGAGCTCAGTTAATAAGGGCTTAATATACATGAAAAAATTTCTCAATTCTGGCTGGCTCGTATATTACAATTCCATTGGATATTACTTTTAATAACACCATAGCTTTCACACACGCAGCTAGAACAAGGTAACTACTTTTGACAGTGTTCTTATTTTTTTTCCAAACACATCTTGCAAATAATGAAGTGTAAGCTCGTTCACTAAAGAAAATTTACTTAAACTTGCTTCAGACATTGCATTTGCTTTGCTTAATTTAATTTAATTTTCACGACTTTGAAATGTTTTTTTTAATGGCTCTTAGATCACTCCTTTGTTTGATTAACCAATCAGGAGCAAATTTTTTTTACAAAAAATTGCACTGTACTTCCTTTTTTCTGCACCGTGTTTCTCTTTTTTTTCCTCTGGTATTTGCAATAAATTGCATGGTTTTTGATTTACCAATGGGAACCGAGAAATTCTTTCATGTATGTTATTAAAACGTAAATCAATATAACCAATCCAATGTTGGCTTCTGAGTTTTACATGAAAATGGCGATTATAAAAAATAGACAAATGATCTTTTCATTTCAGTTTAACAATATTTAGCAACATTTGCACCTTTATGAACAACGTCTTTAGCCAAATTATTTTTCTTAATCTTGCGAAAAGCATCGGCAAGTTCTTCGTACCACAACTGCTTATTTTCTCGTGATTCAAACCAAAATTTTAGCATTTCAAACCCTTTCCAGACCACTTTATAATTATTTATGTCAAATTCTTTTATTTTCACATCTCTGACATTCAGAAATATTGCCAAATTCTTCCATTTGTCAGGAATTTCTTGGGCAAGTTCTAGCAGAATTTGGTTAATTTCTGCAAAAAAAAAAAGTACATTTAAAAGAAAGTTAATAGCATTTTTTATTTTGGAAGAAAATGTTCGACATCCTAAATCAATTATATCGATATACATAATATGAGACTTGTTAAAATACATCAAATTTGTGTCATGTTGACTTTAGTACAACTATGGAAAACAATATAATAGTGTTTTAATAGTAATATGTGAAAATGCTAGCACCAAATTTGTGTGATCTACATTTGAAGTTTTATCAAAGTGCGTTTTGCTACAGTGAAATTGATTCGTAATTTTTTGCATCATTTAAACTGCATGTTTATTGGTTTATTGAAAAAGATAAAGAGATATCTTCCAATAAAAGAAAGACTTTTATACTATAACGCCTTGATTAAACCCGTCCTTATGTACGGGAGCATGATTTGGAATACCTGCGACGTTAAAGAACTCCACTGTCTCCTAAGGTTACAGAAAAGGGCTGCCCAAGTAATTCTTGGAGTAGACCCTTATTCTAGAAGTGTTGTAAACTTTAGTAAACTAGGCTGGTTGCCTTTTTTTGTTGAAATCAAACTAAACAAATGTGCCATGATTTTTAAGAGCCTCAAATGCGATGTTCCGATTTTTATCAGAGATTTGTTCAAGACGAACAGTTCTGTTCACAATAGGTCCACCAGACATTGTAATTTAAATTTAGTGTGTCCCAAATACCTAAGAAATAACGATGGTGGCAAGGCATTCAGTGTTGACGCAGTTAAGTTATGGAACAGCCTTCCCCAATGATATCAAAAAAAAGCCTAGCATAAAACTATTCAAAACAGCTGTAAAAAAGCATTTTATAAGCTCATATAAAAACCTGGACAACTTTGAAACAATATTAAGCAAAAGCACACTATCTAATTTTAATTTTTTATAAATTAATTTTATCTTTCTGAATACTTTTAATATGTCCTGCTGTTCTTATCATAGAATTTTGTAATTATTTATATATTTATTCATTTATCAGTTTTTTGTAATGCTGTATAATCTAGTTAGAGGGCCACTGGATTCTCAGCTTTTTCAGCTGTTACGTGTCCCCCTCTTCAAATAAAGTCCTTATTATTATTATTATTATACGTTACATAGCTATAAATTATCAGCCAACACTCATGTTTGCCCAACATAAAATTGGAAATAAAGCCATTATTATAAAAGGATTTTTTTATTATTTGTAACGTATCGTCTTTACACAAGACAACATCAGACAGGTAATTAAAATGATCATATGTGCGTTTATATTTACAAAGTGCAGCCTAGGACAAGCAGACAATGTTAAGTAAAACAAAATAAAAGAAATTCCGAAATCAGACATCTCGTTTCCTTTATATTTAAGATGATACAAGAGTTTTAAAACAAAAGAGTGTGTAATATTTCGTCTTTATTCCAAAGACATCATCAGACTAATAGTTTACAATGCATGATGCGAAACTTTTATATAATTATTTACAAGCGGAAGTGACAGTTACGTAATTAGAGAGCTATAAGACTCAACAATTAGGCAGTATACTTACATTTAAAATAGAGATAATTTCTTACAGCCTTTGAGACCACTATTTAGTTATGCCATATTGCGTTTTATCAAAAAAATCTTCTAAGATGAGAAGTTGATTAGGATTGTTTTTATTACAGCGATATAAGATTTTGGTGTTACTTGGAATCAAATTACAAGAATTAAATGGCACGCGTGTAAGATCGGCGTCGGAGTAAACGTCAGGAAGTTAGAAAAGGTGTAAGTTGGCGTCTGGACAAATGAGTAAATGTTGCGAGACAGCACCACAGATCTCATAATACACTAGATAGTGCAACTGACATACAAGTTGAAGCCTGGCAAATTTACTTTCGGAGCCCCAAAGTAGTGAGAATCGATATGGTGTTGTATTAGAAAATATCTGGTCAAAGCTGATATCTTCCAATTACTTGCAAGTCACGACGGTTACATAAACTGGTTTACTCTATTAATGATAAAAATCAATGTTACCACAGCTTTTTAAGATAAAGATAGCACAATACGCCAATACATCGCCGTAAAATTGATTTCAAGTGTAGCTCGATTTGAAAGCATCAGCAGCGACGAAAGCTTAAGATACTGGGATTTGCACATCTAAATATCGCATCACAGCATAATCTGCCACAAAATGTTCAATCGAACGTCGTGGAAATATCTTCCAATATTTATTGTTAAGTACAACGAGTTGGAGATTACAGTTTGAAAGATTTTTCACGATTTATATATTGTTTACTGTACATAATTGAATATTGCACTGGATTATTGAAACGCATTTTTCTTGTGTTTCTGGTCGGCAAACGAAAATAGCTGTGTCAAGATGTCAGTAATTAATACGTTCAGAAATTATTTACAGAAAAATGTGAAGAGTCTACCTCTGTTGCACCAAATTTTTGTGAAGTATAAAATAGCAGGTCACTTGAGAAACTGTTGATACCACAGTTGATACATTACGTTCTGTCCAACACGGGGAAAATATTTACTTGTTAAAGCAAGAAGAGTCACCAGACTTGTAGTATTGAATGTGTTTTAAACATATATATAAGCAATGTATTACACTGGTCAACAGCAAATTTGGTGTCTCAGTTTTGTAAACTGATTTTGGACAATTTTGATGTGCTGAGTCCAAAAATAACACTATTTTTGCTGGGTCAGGTCGAGATTTTAAGCTATCGTTAATTTTGTATTTTTTAACTTTTAAATACCCGAGAAAGGTACAACAGAAGTATTAACCATTTACCTTTTAAAGTTCTATTATCTGAACAAATTTAATTTTTTTAGCACTAGCAATACAAAGAAGAAAGCATTTGAATAAGCAATTATTGATTGAATTTCAATTAGGGAGTTAAGGTTTTGCGATTATTATGGGATATTTAAAGATAAAATAAGGCTTTATGTAGCCCATACTGGAATTCAATGGTAAAACTTGTTAAAACACACCAACATATTAATGTAAGTAAAAAATAATAAAAAGTAGAAATAATAAAAATAAGCCAGACGTTTTTTGCTATGTTTGTGGTGAATACACACTTGCACCAAATCGCAATACTGTTACCACCTTTATCAAGCGCGTTTACTATGCATATTTTGGCATGAAGCTCGGCGATCAAGACAAACGTTGGGCACCTCGCATGGCTTGCAAAAGATGCACAGAGCATCTCCGTCAATGGAGTAAAGGCACGCAAAAGTCCATGAACTTTGGCATCCCCATGATTTGGCGAGAGCCTTAAATCATGCAACCGATTGCTACTTTTGTGCTATCAATGTCATGTGAATTAACAGAAAAAATCGCACAACACTGGAGTATCCCAATCTACCGTCAGCTATGCGCCCTACTCCTTATCGTGAAGAAATTCCCGTACTTGTATTTGAAGATACAAGTATTGAAGAAAGCAGTAGTAGCCAGGATGAAACTCAAAGCATTGCCACTACCGATGATGCATCCTTTCCTGATGACAATGATGAGCAGCCAAAATTGTTTTCCAAAAACGAACTAAAAGATCTTGTTCGCGATTTAAATTTGCCAAAAGACTCTACCGAACTTCTTTCATCTCGTTTAAAGGACAAGAACATGCTAAATGGTAAAGTTAAGGTAAGTTTCTTCCGTACCAGGCACCAGGGATTTTTAAGATATTTTGCTCAAGAAAAAGAACTAGTCTATCGCAATGACATAGTAGAGCTACTGAAACATCTCGGAGTACCTGAATACAAATCAGAGGACTGGCAACTTTTTATTGACAGCAGCAAAAAGTCCTTGAAATGTGTGTTGTTACACAATGGAAATCAATTTGCATCTGTGCCATTGGCACATTCGACAACATTAAAAGAACAGCATGAAGCAATTAAGTACGTCCTAGAAAAAATTTCTTATGACCAACATAAATGGCTGATTTGCGTTGACTTAAAAATGGTCAACTTCTTGCGTGGTCAACAGTCTGGATTTACCAAATACCCATACTTTTTATGCCTCTGGGATAGTAGGGATCGTACTCATCATTACGTGAAAAAAGAATGGCCAGTACGTGAAGAGCTTGCTAGTTGTAGAGCAAAAAATGTGATAAACAAGCCTCTAGTTGACAGGGGACGTATTTTATTTCCTCCACTGCACATAAAGTTTTCTAAACTATGTTTTCAGTTTCGTTGTAAAACTTCCCCAATTTGTCAACTGAAAAATTAAAAGCTGGTATTAATCCCGAAAATCTTGGCTCTTTAAGCGATGAGCAAGGAGAGCGCTTTCACCATGACTTAAGAGAAAGGTGGGACATGGTGATGATGGCGGACTACTGTTGGAATTTAAAAAGAGATGTGCCAGCAACAAAACATTCGCGACAATCAAAAAAAAACGAAAATTTAGACCGTAATAATGCAAACATTAAGTTTTCATTTTTAGTTACATGTACTGTACATGAAGTGTACATGATTCTTTCTTGGAATACTGCAATTTTATCATAAAAACTGACATTTTGTTTTGAAACATCTTGAAAACATGTAAATCTTGAAAACATGTAAATCTTGAAAACATGTAAATCTTGAAAACATTGTTTTAAAAAAATATAACTAAAGTCGCATAATTTTAAATTCAAATTTGCAAAAAAATTTGACCTCCGAGAGCAAAATGAATGTTATTTCTAGATTTAGCATAGCAAAAATATAGTAAATCAGTCAAAAAATATCAGACACCTTTTAAAAAGTTTCTTTTTGTTGACCAGTGTTATCATAGTCTAAACCAGTGGTATATATGGCCCCTGCCCACAGTGCTTAATGTACTGTTATGGTGATGTTATGCTACTGTTTTCACCATTTTGATTGCCTTTTTTTACCATTCAGTCATGCATTTGCATATAAAAAATTTTACACATTATTGTTATTGAAAATATCAAACCTAAGTTATTTATTCTGAGCAAAATATTTAATTTGTGCTTGTAACTTGTGTAAATTTCTGACTGATTTTTGTAATATGCTTGTTCTATTAAAATAATC